CTCGACCCGGGCGTTGTTGAGCTCGCTCGTGGGTTGTTGGGTGCAGGTGTTTTTGTATCGACGTCCCATCCTGTCGATATTCACTCACATCTACACCTTCATCACGACACTTCCCGACGACGGGCTTGAGTATGAGCTCCCGTCTTCGGTTCGCGACGAATTGCAAGCCTGCACCTACCTTGCCTTCGTTGCGATGACCGACCTTCGGGCGACGCCTTGCCCTGAAGTGTTCGGCACGGATGCCTCCCTCGGCTGGGGCGGTGTTGTCCGCAGCGACATCAGTTCGCACCTGTCACAAGAATTGTGGCGGCGCTCCGAGCACGGCGGCTGGCATACTCGTCTCCACGACCGCCACTTGCTCATGGTTCTGAGCCGCGGGGAACCTTTAGGCCCCGAGCTGACCCAGATACACCGCGAGGTGGGGCTTCCCTCCCTCGAGCTCCCCATCGCACCGCGCTGGGTCAGTGAGCTGTCGGAGGCGCTGCGTTTCCGTTTGGCCTACAAGTGGGAATTCCGCACGCCCCGCCACATCAATATCCTGGAGACCACCGTGTTCAAGAGTCTGTGCAAGTACTGTTGCATCCGCAACCCTGACTCACGGACCCCTGTTCTCTTGGATTCCCAAGTGGCACTAGGCGCGGCCGCCCACGGTCGGAGCAGCAGCCCTGGCATTTCGCACGTGTTGAGCACCTGCTTGCCCTACATTTTGGGGGGCGGGCTCTACATGGGCGGGCTCTACGTCCCGACCGACGTCCACCGAGCGGGCGACCCCACGCGCAATCGCCCTGTTCGCCCCCCCTCGCGTGTCGAGCCTGCTTGGTTGCTTGACATAGACGAGGGTCGCTTTGAGCGATTCGACATGATAGCGGCCGCCGACGCCGCCTCCGCGTACCCGACTTGTCTGTGGGGCCGGTTCGTGCTGCAAGTTCTGGCTCGCAGCCCCGCCGCGGGCGCAGGCCCGCTCGGGCACCCCGAGGATCGCCACGTGGGAGCGCCAGCCCGGGTCGACAGGGGCGACGCGACGGCCTCCGCCGAGGCCCGCGACGCATATGAAAGCGCCGCGCCGCGCAGGGGGGCTCCTGTCTCCGTCAAGGTGCCCTCGAGCGCGGCGGCGGTGAGCTTCTCCGCGTCGCGCTGCACTCGCGCCCGTGACAGCCTGCCGGCCGCCCCTCGGGTACCAAGCCCTTCGCCGTCCCCGCCGGTAGGCATGCGCCCCTCCAGCGATGCTGTTGCGGCCCCGCAGGGAGGGGTTCGCGCCGCCGGTGGAGGGCCAGGAGAGGGCGCGCCCGAGCGGAGGTCACGCGCCAAGAGCGACGCAATCGCCGCTGCTCGACCTGGTACGCCCAAGGGGGACGCTCACCCCGTCTCGCTTCTGTCGGAGGCGAACGGCTCGGCTCCAGCTTCGTTGGGGGGTCTTCTGGGTCGTCCGTCCGTCACGATTCAGACTCGCCACCGCCAAGATCGTGCCGCCAAACTTGTTGCCGCGCTCGATTTGCTCCACCTGGAGCGCGGTGCGACCACTGATCGCGTGAACGCTCAGTTTCGACGGATGGGTTGGGCCTGCCATCCCGACCGCGATAAGTCGATCGAGGCCAGCAGGAAATGGCGTGCTCTCTGTGACGCCAAAGCCTTCCTCCTCGGGCCTGGGCGCGATGTTACCGGCCCCGATGCCCCGGCCTCTGGCGGCGCTACTCGCCGTGCTTTGGGCAGAGGGCTCTTGGCGGCGGGAAGGCGTGACGACGCGAACCGCTCGCGCGGGGTCGCCACTCGGGATTCGGCTCTCGACGCCTCCCTCGGTGCTCGCCTCCGCGGCATGCCGGGGGAGCGTCGGAGCGCCCCTGGCGCGTCTCCAGACGCAGAGCCGAGCGCGGTCGCTAGCTGCAGCGACCCAGGGTCGCGGGCTGCGCCACGTTGTACGGTGCAGACCCCCGCGATGCCTACTGCCGCCATGCGACGCACGCAAGCTCGCCCGGAGGCCGACCTGGGGGCCGCCCGTACCGCGGCCGCGGTGCTCCCGCCCTTTCGAGCCAGCACCCTGCCCCCCCTGCCAGGGTGCCGCGCCGACGCCCATAGCGTCGCGCCGCGCGCCAGCTCTGCACCTGCCCTGCTGGCCGGGCGCTCGCTGGGCGCAGCGGCTATGCTGCGTGCTACCCGCGAGCGGGCTGCCAGTGCGGCCACCGCCGGGGCGGCACAACACAGGGCCGTGCTTCCGTGGGGCCACAGCGCAGAGCGCAGCGAGGTGTCGCCGGCTCCCAGCTTTGCCGACTCCTGCTGCGCCGGCCAGCGTGCCGACTCTTGCGCCGCCCAGCTCACCGCGTCCCGCGGCGACCAGCTCACTGACTTGCAGCCCTCCCAGCTCACCGACTCCCGCACCGACCAGCTCGCCGACTCCCGCGCCGACCAGATCGCCGACTCGCGTGCCGAGGGGCTCGCCGACGCCCGCACCGACCAGCTCGCTGACGCCTTCACCCGTTCCGACTCCCGTGCCGATCCTCTCACC